ACAATAAACAAAACTGAGGTTACACGAAATACTTGTTTCAAGTCATAGGCGTTTAAGAGGAACTACTACAGAGCACACAAGCACAGCTAAATGATTAATAGATATCTGTATATTTTTGTTGTGTAAATATGTTGCTAAGCGCAAGACACGATGACGGCTGGACCAATTCGAATATGTTTATTGATTTATTGCTTAATAACGCTGAGAAAAGCATTTTATGAAAAAATTGCACCGAAACACTAAAAAACCAGTTTGTATTCGGGAAATGCGAACAGTATAAAAAATCTTATTATAAAACCCCTAATTAGAATTAAGCCTTGCCCGCGTGACTTCCTATGTCACACTTCCACGACGGGGTTAAAGTATTTTAAAATACTATTTAATACTAACTACTGTTGTACCTTCTACTAATTTTATTTTTTGTGTTGCGCAAAAAACATTATTGAGTTGTTTTCGATGTCAACAGAAAAGTAGTTTTTTTGTTTCCACCACACTACTATAAACTTATTTTATATAAACTATGTAATATTACGTCACTTGAACTCTGCAGTAAAATGATTTCGAAAGTTAAACCCTACCCTTGCTAATTAGATTTATATGAATACATCAAACTTAAGTATCGTATTTGATAAGCTTTTATTGTATATATCGGAGCATTGGCTTTCTACTTTCATTTCACCGTTATGTCCTTCCTGAACCATTATTTAGGTTAAGCCCTCGTCCCTCGTTCTATGACTCGCCTTTAATCTATTCCCCTCTCTCTCCGTCATATATTTAAAATAAAAACGCTGGCTCTTACTACTTGTAACACAAAGATAGCACAATAAGCTTATAATTGCAGCCTTGCTCCACATTCATAACGAATACCGATGTGCTTAAAGCTTAACAATGTCGGTTATGGTACTCATGTACTCCCTACAAACTGGCCTTAATCATAAAAATATATGTACTCCAAGCCGAGTTTTATTTTGTTGAGACGAGACCAGAAATATTCAATATTTAAGTAGCAATAAAAAAAAATCGAAATCATCACTTATGAACGTCAAAAAAGAAATACATATTAGGACTCCCACACAAAACTGCGATTCGATGCGATGCGAATTCGCATTCGATTTTTACGCTTTTACCATTCGAAGTCAGTATAGCTAGGTTTTACCACTGTCAGCTGGTAGATGTTGGTTTTAGGAATAAAACAATGAGTAATTCTTAATTATTTACTTTAATGAACTAATAGACAAAACAGGTACATAGTATTATAAAGGTATCATATGATAGTAATAAGTACAAACTAATACCAACTTATTTAAATTATTTTGAAAAACCACATGACGTATATCTCTGAATATCTCAATCTCTATCATATCTATCTAACTGAATCAGTAGTTCTCTATTTGGAATTTAACAACGAAATACAAACATAATGCTTACATAAGCTAGTCATGTTTTGCTTTTCAACATTTACCGTGCCATTAATGTAAATCCTAAGATTTACAAACGGAATGGTGGTAAGAGTTCGAATCGCAAACCTTTTGGGACATTTACCATTAGGAATTGGTAGATCTTAGGTTTTACTGGAATATCTTAGGATTTACTGCAGTTCGAGCTTTTACAGTAACAGACATACATTCTCCTAATTATAAATAAACATAAAAATTTGGCTTTTAGCAAATAACCGATCAGAGCACTAATCCTGCAGCCCGATCTTAGACCATTAGGTTTTTATTCCGAAAAAGCGAACAGTCTCTATGGGGTAGCATAGCAAAACGTTCCATACGTTGGTATGTAGCTACTAAAAAGGTAGGTTGACTAAAAAAATAAATTAAGGCGAAACGGCATTAATAAACTATGTTCTAATTGCACCCATTTTAGTACTCTTCTATCTCTTTTCATTAAGGCTTAAATACAATGTAACAGAAGGAGATGAAACATTTAGAAAACGGGTATCTTTGTCTTTGGTCACGATTTATAGTTTATACTATTGTACACTACGAGTATAACATGAAATAATTACCTATACCAAAGTGAAGTAAATTTCCTATGGAAAGTCTTAGTCTATTCTCGAGACAATAATTTATATATTACGAAAATCTGATGTAAAAGTAATGAAGTTACATAATATGGCCATCTTCTCTCATACAAATCATAGATTATCGCCTGGGAATGCTTGACTATGTAAATTAGTTTTCCGCGCAGTACTTATGAATAATTAGAGCAGTTTGTATCCATTGTAATGAAATAAAGGTACTTAAAAAAATATTTAAAAATGTAGTATTTACATGAGAGATGACTCTTGAAGTCGTGCGTTCAAAACGATGGATTTACTTACAAGATTACGTCACTCAATTAAAATTATGTATTTCGAACACTCCCCCGTCCCAGTCAGGCGCAACATGACTGAGCCCAAAACCGGAGGCTCGGAGCAAAGTTTATGCCACTGGGAGACGTGACAAGTCCGCCACGGCTCTTTTTAAAACCGATTCCCCAACGACAAGAGAAATAACTCTTAATCCCGGTAGATGCTCAACAAGTTCCTTTTTAGTGCGAGGCCAACAACTCTCAGGTTGGTACAGCCATCCTGGAGCCCACCACAAGGGATGGTCTAGTATTACTGGAGCCTCTATGAGGGTCAAATTTAATAAAATTAAAATTATGTATTTCGAACAGCATTATTATGGTAAAATTCTATAATCCAGTTTTTCCCAACCAAGAAACTCTTATGCCCCATAACATACATAATTTTTAACATTTTTAAAATTGCTCACTTAAGAAAATTAAATGATAGGTTTTGGGAAGAAATAACTAAGCAATTGTTAACAAAATGAAATTCCAAATAATTTTAATAAATTTTCGAATGAGCCCCACGTTGGGAAACATTGATATAATCGGTCCAGTTTAGAGTTAATTCGTTAGTAGCTTATTACTAAATTCCGCTGTTAATAAGCGGAATCACGCATTGAAATTTCTAAAATTGTACCGTACCATAAGCCCAGAAATCGTTTAACGTTTGACAATGGACATTTTGTTTACGTAATTGGTCCACGATTTATCTAAGTGAAAATCAAACGAAAATATATATTTTGCAATGGACGGTAATAGGTTAACATGTTCTTAGATAAAAATCCAGAATCTATGTCTAATATAATTAACGCCAGTAATGAAATTAGTTACTGGCATTTACAAAATTAACACACAAAAGTCAGTGCGTCTGTAAATTGCTTATAAATACTTTCTCAATTTTTCTAACACAAGAAGGAACAAATTGTTACCCCTAAGAAATCGTTCGCCCCCTTTATTTCTTATTTACTTAAAACCCTTTGCTCCCGAGGTAGAACAGACATACATTTGTAACAAATTGTCTGTTTCACGGTTCACTATTACTTTTCTAGGTACCTATGAAATGTGGTTTGGTATGGACTGTGTGACTGCCATATGATTGTTTTGGCTTCAAAGTTCGAGGCAAGACTTAAATTTTTAATAAATAATTTCATCGAGGCGCATCGTGGACACTTACGTTACTATGGTTACAACTAACTCCCCTTTCCCTCTTATTCAAAAATTTATTGGTATAATCATATATGTAGCACCATCTAGTATCAAGTAGCGTGCGATATTAATTATCACTAAACACTACACTGCAAAAACTGGTTTGTTTGTATACTATGTAACTGTAAGTATGTACCAATCACTATAAAAATTTCATTTTCGAAACACGAAATTACAATACTATCTTTATATTATGAACAGTTTGATTCTTTTCTTCACACGCTTTAATTGTAAATAGAAAATTATGCCCGAAATTGTCTCGGAAGAAGACTATGTCTGCCATCTATTGGAAAATAAGAAAAATTAAGATGGTTCGAATCAATGTTTATCTTGATATGTACTTTTAAATTTATTGAATATATACAGTTATGTTTTATTTAAAAACTGTTTATGTGAGGTAGGTACAAAAGACAAAAAGATAAAAATACCATTAAATTCATAGTAAATGCTCTTCTTGAACAATATTTACCACTTTTATATCAAAAACCGTTTACCGCCATCTAGTATCTACTAGGAAAAACATTGTCGGCTTAAATCAAAGGAAAATACACTATATGCAACGACACGAGGCACACTATCGACTTTTTTAAAGAAAGTAGCTTCACCTGATTGAGGATATATTTTTATAATTTGTACGAACTTAAATAATAATGCTTTAAGACGTAAAAAAACATACCTATATTTTAGGAAAATTGGAGAAAGACAATTTATTTTAAAGATTTCATAGAGTTATTATGATTATGTTTGAAAATAAATTTAATGTCCTTAATCGATTTGGAACCTATCGGTGCTTGTTATCACTGAGTTATTGCAGTTTTATAATTCCTTTGTGAATGCCGCAAGTTAAGAAAAAATATTCGGGATTTATTTAGTTTAAGTTTTGCTTTGAGTGTGTAAGGTTACTGTAATACTCTTATTAGATTATATAATATTATAGAAATTCATTGCGCTAAGGTAAAATTATGTAAATTATTATATTTGTATATATTATGTGCATTACGAAATAGTTAACGAGATATTAAAATTTCAAAGATTTCATTAGTTAAATCAATATTCAATTGACAATTTTGAATGTCATTATATCAACTATTAATAAATTTATAATTTTATATTGTTTCTATAAATTTGAATTTTCCGCTTTTAGGGAAGTTTTAGAAGTGTTATGGTCCTTAATTGACTTTTTAAGTTTTTTTTAGCCACTATTTATAATCTTCTATAATTTTTTACTACAATAATAAACTTGCTATATTTATTGAAATAATATTTACAATAGACCTTTTAGTGAATATTTTAGCAAGATAAAATATTGTTTTAATTTGAGTTTCTTAATTTTTGTTTACGGAAGTTACGCCATTTCGAAGATAATGACTCGCCTAGTAAATAAAGTTCACTTTAGGCTATAATGATGGTGAATGAGATGTTTCATGTTAATTTATAACAATTAATTTAAGGTCGAAATGCTACCGTCTCCGAGAGAATATGAACAGCTACAACGCATTTTACCAAGATCAGAAAGAAATGGTAAGTTCTATAAATTTTCTGATAAATTAGTCTTATCCTCAAGTTAATCTATGCATTTCTCTGCATAATAAACAGTAGGTATTAGGCTAAGTCTTACTTTGTATGGTGACGCTTTTTTGTCAGTTTTTAATTACTACACAGGATTTAATTTGAATACCATTTAGCATTAGTCTCATATAAAAGCTTAGTCGTACCCTATCCTTTTAAAAAAAGCATTAAACTTTTTCAGTAAATGAACCGTCATATTTCTCCCTCATTCCAACTTCGTCCTCGAATATGTCATCAAGTTCAACTGATACTTCATCTGGGTCGTACGAAAATTATCATTCACTCTCTAGTGCTGAAACGCAAGAATTTCGACCTTACCAACTATTTAAATCATCATGTGATACATCTATACATCCTTCCAAGGATAGGAGTTTCTTTGGATCTTCAAACCATTCCAAAGTTTCCAGGCAGATTTCGCAAACACCATTTTTGCGTAGTGATCGACCAACGCCTAGGCGGACAATTATACCCGAAACTATTAAAAAAAACCACTTGGATCTGTACAATGAGTTGTTTACCACAAAAGAAATAGAAATAACTCCAGAACCACCTACAATTAGGTCGCTACAAGCACTGAATAGGTTTCCTGATTTAAGTTCAGCTCCAAGTTCCACTCCATATACAGCAAATCTAAACAAGTGGGAGTTAGATATGGACAAACCCAATTCACAGATTTTAATTTCTTCCATGAACAATGACATTAGTCCTCATGCAGCAAAACTTGTACCAAATCATCTATCTAATTCTAATTGGTTAGATTTTGAAACACTGGAATCATCTTCAGGTAAGAAATTTTGAATATGTATTAGATGATTTCTTTAACTTAATTAATTTATCTGAGTAAAATTTTAAAAGTTTTCTTTACGTTTTTAAGGAACATTCAGTGAAACCTCAATTTCTAATAGAAATAGTATTATGAGCCCCAGTTCATATGAATTTTTACCACCTGTCTCACCTATTAGACAATTTGAGAGGATAAATCAGGCTGTTAATTCATCAGGTATATACATTTATTACAATTTTTTATATTGTATTTAATTCATCATAAAAAAAATTAACTTGAAAATGTTGACGTTACAAGGTTAGTAACTTGTTTTTACAATTTTTTTTGTTTTTAGGTACAGTTAGTCAAGGTTCTGCTATGAGTACTGGTACTGATAATATGGCACGATCCTCTCCAATAAGAACTTCAGCAAAGTATGAGAGACAAAATCTTGGTGCTGGATCATCTTTAGGTATAAATTTCTTTATAATTAACATACAACTACTTATTGGCAAAAAAAGGAAACTTTATTTTATTATAGTTATGAAAATTTCTTTTGGAAAGTACAAAATTTTTATCAATATAATATGTGTACCATTATTGTTTATGTAATAAATTATTTTCAGGAACATTTCGTGAAAGTTCAATTTCTCCAAATTGTAATATAAATTACCCGGGTTTCATGGAAAATATGGCACGGGTCTCACCTCTCGACAATCAAAGAAATATTGTACGATTAAATCAGGGATCATCTTCAGGTACGTAAAATAATATTTTGATATTAATTTTTTCATTTCTATATTTTGGAAAAAGCTAGTCGGTGTGAGACTGATGCCTGCTAAAGGTAAGAGTACCTGTGAATTGTATATAAATTAATCACAGAAATTTGGTATATACGCCGAATTTGCAGTTCCAGGATTTGACCTATTTGGTAGTATAACTACTTTTTTCTTTTTTACATTCACTGTAGCTGATTGTACGTAGAAGCTGGGGCCTTCTCTCTTTTGTTGTCTTTTTTTTTTCTGTAAAACTGATCATGCATCCAAACACATGATAATTTCAAGAATAATAAACACTGCTCATTTATTTACTTAATTGTTCTAAGTGCGGGATGATCAATGTAATGAACGCAAAAAAAAATCCTGTACCTTACGTTAGCATATTTATTGCTAATTAAATGTTTATTTTTATATTCTATGTATGTTTTAAGGAATGTATGGTGAAAACTCATTTTCACCAACTATGAAGAGTCGTGAAATGCCACAACATTCACCCATAAGAAATCCTATTAATTTTGAAGGGCTAAATTGGGATGCTAGATCATCTTCAGGTAATTAACTTTATTTAATCAAGAATTACTATTGCAATTACGCTACCTATTATTTATATTATCATATATTCAAGTATGATAATATAAATAATATGTAGCTTCTTTCTAATACTAATAACGAAAGTAGTGGTACAGCTTCTATTAACAATTTCTGAAAATGTAATGAAAGTGATTTATTTTAGTTTTATTTTATATTTTTTGTACTACTGCACATATTAGTTTATCAATAAAAATTCCTTAAACTGCTTGCATGGATTTGTGACAAATGTGGTTCTACTCTGAATTATGGTTACATACAAATATGAATAAATAAACATTATTAATCTAAATTATATAATTATCACCCACTATAGATAAAATTAAAAATAAAAACGATTGTAGTACAATCTACTGCCGTTCATCTTATTTGTTGGCAAAAAAATATTCTACTTAAAGTTTAAGTGTTTGAATCTTATTTAGGAGTAGATAAAATTATCACCAAATTGTTGTCTAATATAAATTATACTTTAAAAACGATATGTAACCCAGTTTTATTTTTAAGGAATATTCAGTGAAACTTCAATTTCATCAATAACAAGCATCAGCCCTGGCTCTATTGGATACATGCCACGAGTCTCACCTATAACCAATCCCATAAATTTTGAAAGACTTAATGAAGATGCTGTATCATTTTCAGGTACCTATGTCTTTATTAAAGATAGTTAATTCTTAGTACATTTTTTCTAGTTCCTTTCTTGAAATTTTGCAATTGTTAAGACTTACTTATAAAAGTGAAGTTACATGTTTCTGGTTACAAGCACTCGAAATATATCGCTAAAAACCTTAAGTGAATGTTAGGATAAGGGAACGAAATATTGTTCGTTGGGCGAAATATTATTTAAAAAATAAATATTTTCTTTGCGCAATGGCATTACTCCTTAGTTATCAAAATGATTATGTAGTCTGAAATGTACAAATATTTCGACTCTGCTTGGTACTGGTATCTTTTGGAGGGATTTCGTACCAGCTCTTTTAAGTGCGTCCGTTTGTGAATCGACCATTGAAGTATTTCTGAACCAATTCGACTTAGCGTTCTTCGAGAAAAGATTGTACCAATTCTTAAAAGGTCGGCAACGCACTCGCGACCATTCTGAGTTCATTAATATCAGGTGAGGCTCTACTCCGTTTGCCCCGTGGTATAAAAGTGTGCTTATGCCCCATTTTAGCTAGAGATCTCTTAACCTACAAACCATTTACATATACATATATATTTTACAGGAATAAAAACTGACAGACTATGCACATTTTGTAAGAAAAATGGTGAACGACAAAAAGTGTACAGCACCCATACTGTCAAAGTGAAAGTCGGAAACAAGCAGATAGTTACGTGTCCTGTTCTACGTTCTCATGTGTGCACTATGTGTGGAGGAACCGGTGACAATGCCCATACAGTGTAAGTGCTTTTATTATATCCATACATTCTTTGTTTTCTATTTTAAAAGTATGCAAGGTTAATAGTAAGCCGGGGATCGAACCTACGACCTCGGGGATGAGAGGCGCACGCTGAAGCCACTAGGCCAACACTGCTCAGATTGCATCCATTGTTTGGATAATTTATATTTTATAGAAGTCACCTCTGGTTGGACACATGTCATCAATTTTTTGGGTTGAAACATCCCAGTTTTCTTATGAAAACCTTTGTTGTAGGAGCAAGTGTTTCTGCGCTTAGAAACTTCCATTAGGGCTCTGTGATGAGGGTTGTAAGCTCAAGCTAGTTGAGTTCCATCCTCGGCCTAGAACGTTGATATATACATCCTAAACCTACACAGTCTATTTTCTTAAGTAACTCACTTGCTTGCCTTTGAGATTTGACCGTGCCCTCCATGTACGGTTTAAGCACATGGTACCGCACAACCCTCCCAAAGGCCGAGAACAAATTTAAATTAAATTAAAACTTGCCCTCGAACCGGGAATCGAACCCGGTACCCCTCACGTAGCTGCCACTTAATAAGACCGCTAGACTATGAAGCCATTGATTAATCAGTTAAAATAATATTATTTAAAGTGGTACTTATTTTCCTAAATTAACTTTATCTTTATTGCTATATTTTTTTATATTTCCAGGACGTACTGCCCACTAGTATCTGACTCAAATAAGAGACGGCCACCATCCACCACAGTTACCTTGAAGTCTACCCGCATGAAGAGCAACGGTAAAAAACGTAACAACTATAATAATTAATAGATTGGAAGATACCACACTGGTAACTTCCAGGTCAGTATGTGTTATATGTCTGTAAGTTGTCTTGTATAAGAAATAATTTTGAATTTTGTACTGATTAAAGGTGTGTATTTTAAATTGAAACATTGATCTATACAATCTCTCTAGATGAGATAGACCTAATTCAAACTATTTTATAAATGATTTTTATATTTTTAATGAAATGATCTCGATAATTAAGATATTAAGCAAAACCATTTTTGCATTTTTAAACATTTTTATACTCATATTTGACAATTATTATCACTGTTTGTTTTTAATTATAAATGACAAATTATGCCTCAATTTTATATTCAATATAAGAGTTCTGTAGAAATCTTAATTGGTTAGCTATTAATAACAATTACGATTCGTATTCGATATTAGACTCAGGGCATGAAACATTTTTGAGTCTTAATTAGTTTTTAGGTATTCTTTTTATTTTTGGACTATTAAAACTTATCAATAAATATTATAGAATAAGTTGTTTATGTAACATTGTTTATTTTTTAAATTTTATCTGACAATTTAAAATTTTGACTTAATGTATCAAAATCATGCTATTTTTTTACAATTTGTAATGCTTTGACCAAAACATTTATAATTTTTATAAATTGGTTACTCAGTGACTAAAATAATTACTGACTTATTTTAACTATAACATTTTATCGCCATTTTGTTTTTTACTTGACATAATCATGAAATCATTGACATTTTGCAATTTAATAACAATTATAGACAACATTACAACAACTTATAATTTATAACCCTTTTTTACTAAGATTTGTTCTTTCATTGGTTTTATTCATATTAAGATGGAAAATAGGCTCGCCATTCCTGTGTTGCATGGAACAGATTGTATGTACATTTATCTTATTTACGGGAAAATGAAGAGAAAACTTTGATTTAATTATGTTACTCATACTGTAGTTTTAAGTATTACGAGTGGCTTATTAGTTGTAAGGAATTAAAAGTTTTGTTTTGTTTTTGCTTTTGACCTGTTATTAATTTTTATAGAGTAATGTTGGCCTTTATTGAACTTGCATTTTATAATTAGAATCTTAAACCAAATAGCACCATCTATGGTTATATGTGTATATTTTGGGTTCAAAAAGTGATAGCTTAAATTATGATTTTACCAGCGTTTGGAACAACATCTCGATAGAAATTTATTGTAATATTTGATGATGTAAGCTACAAATTAAAAATAAATATAATATGCAATTACCTATTGTAGTTACGAAAGAATAAAAAACGTCACGTTTTGGATAAGAGTATTTTTAGTATTCGTAAATTCTATACTGTTTTTGCCCTTTGAATGTTTGATTCTTTTAATATTTTTGAGACTTATTAAAATATTTTAATAAATGCCATTCTTTCATTGCCTTATTATAATTATCTTAAAACCTATATATTCAATAGAAAATACAAGTAATAAGGGCACAGCGAATTTTGCATTTTAGTTGAAACTACTATTTTGTTGTTGCGCGGCGCACTATCGCTGACGCGCATTAACGTGCGCTCATGTGAACAGTTGTATGAAAATACCGTAATAATAGTAAATCGTTGTATACCAAGTCTTTGTACCAGGACAGCAGGAGGTACGAGGAGCTATCGACACTTGGTTAAAGCTTGAAGCCAAAATTAAAAAACACAATATAAAAGTTTTCTTTAGGCGGCCTAGAGCTAGATGAAAGAAAAAAGCATCATTGATAAGTTTATTTATTATTGTTCAACAAAATAATATTTAGGTGTTCGAGCCTAAAGGTAGTCAAGTAGTGGGTCCGCGAAATAAGGGTTTTTTAAAAACTTAAAGTTAAAATGAATATACAACCGGTCCGATTTGAGGTCCGTTTAATACTAAATATTACAAGTATTCTATTATATTTATATCCTATTCTTAAAGGCCTACGTGACCGTTGTGCTGACACATTGTTCTCACGCTCTACAAGGAAACGTTACTTAGTAAGAACTAAGAGTGGTTCGTAAATCATGTAAGTGTGGTTCGTAAATCATGTAACAGCATTTCGGCTATTGAAATATAAAGGATCTTTGTACTACTATGTTGCAATGGTTTTTTGTTTATATAAAATATAATTATCCTATGGTGGTGACACACGGGATTATATAACTCCTAGCCCTTAAGAGGAAATTATCAGGGGATTGCACATGCAAATTCTGATTATTTCGCCACTGCAACATATTAATAATCTTATTTTTTATAAAAAACACAACAATTAGCAAAATACAATAAAAGAGTGCCTAAACTAATGCTTTTCACTTTCACTGAATTGCCCATTTCACTATCACTATCTCTGTTAAGTTGTTACAGCATGTAAGACATGTGTTGCCGGTCACTGAGCTCCATTCCTTGTAAGTTTACTGGATTCTGATTTTCCTTAGAGTTCACTGTTGACTGTAACTCCAGCAGCTTAATGGATGGGATACGTTCTGATGACATATTTTCTGTATATGAACGCTGATGATGTAATTGATGTTGAGATCGCAGGGTTAATCTCTTCTATAATTACTGTATTCTGGTCACAGTTGGATGGGTTTTCCTTAAAGGTCATCAGCTCCTCAATGCATGTCGTTTCAGGATACGGTCTCCTGTTTTCTTGTGTGCAGAGATAATAAATTTTCCTCAGAGACTTGTTTGCAAGGCTGTATAAACGCAAAAAGAAGTATGTTACACCTTTCACCAGGATATAGGGATATTTAGGAATGATTATTAAGGTTAGGTTTTTAGGGTCATGAAAGATAGGTAAGGGATACATTTTATTATAACTATAAGTTGAATTGGTTATTAAAGCTACCTCTAATACAAAAGTTATTTTCCTGTCTATCATGTATGATTTAACATTAATCGTATCTTCTAATTTAACTAAATTATCCCAAGTGGGTGGATACATAAGATTTTCTGACTGTGATATATAAATTAAAATCTGTAATAAATGTGTAAAACATTGGTTTTGGTGAAAGCCAAAGCAATTTCTAATTCGCTTATTTTTTATATAAAGCGTTCTAAAATTACTTACAAAAAAGATTATATAAACTTAAAACATATGTAGAGTATACTGCATTATTTTCTTTAGTACTTATGTCTTTTAACATTTTTTTTTCTACACGTTTTAGTCTTTCGTCCATAATTTTTGAGTTATTGTGTAATATTTCTGATGAATTAATGAGTCCATCTAACATTTTGAAAACAACTGTTAAACGCTTGTTTGTGGAAATTTTGTTGATTACCTAATTGATTTATTAACTGTTCATATCGTTGAGCATCTTCCTGATCTAAGTTTCCAGTTATCATTTTAATAATAGAGCCTAGAGGGTTCAATATTCCTCTTCGTACTCGGTGTGAAGGGATTATTTGCCTAATCTTTTCAGTAGTTATTCTTTGCAAATACTCTACTTGTTCCCTAATTCCTAAAAATTCTTTAAACTAAGGCTTATCATCACTTACTATCTTACTAAAATTACTATATTTCCTATTGTTATATTCTAATTCCATTAGTAGGCCATTCAAATCTAATACCTTAAAAATAAGCCAGTTATCCTGTTTGATGAAGGATGTTCCCTGTCTTACGGATCCCTGAATTGTTTTCAACCTTTTGAAGTTGAAGGCCCAAGCTGGGGCTCGTGAGTGTCATCATGATCACTAAGCACCACCTTTGAAGGTCGTTTTATGTTTTTAATTTTTACCTTTTTGTGTTTACCTCTAATTGTAATAGGGATGGTGTTTCTTTCAGGTTTTCCTGTAACTATGGCCTTTTCAAAACAAGGTTTGTCCTTACTTTTGCGAGTGTTTATTAATTTTGTGAAAATTGTTTTCCCTTCTGGCAACGGGACGTCGGATTCGCCACCGCGTTTTTCTCTAGATTTTCCCTTAAACGTTAACATTTTATCAGATATGATTTTGTATAAAACTTTTATTCTTTTGGCGTGATCTTTAATTAATTTTTGCAAGTATCGTTTCTCGAAGTCTATATTGAATGCGTTTTCAGAATCTACATGGTCAAACACTACTTCAAACGGTGTTAAAGTTGTTACAGTATGAATCGCATTATTATATGCCATGATAAGTGATATAATAGATGCGGCATCGGTACATTGTTGTTCGTATTTTGTCAGTCTGTAAATTTCAATTAAGGTGGAATGAAAACGTTCAACTATTCCCATTGAATTAGGGTTCCTAGGTGTGCCGATATGTATTTGGATTTTATGGGGGTGACATCAATTCTTTAAATAAATCGTTGTTGAATTCAGGACCAGGGTCGCAGCTTATTTTCTTAGGTATGCCGTAAAATAAAAAGTATTTTATTAGTGCGCGGATAACGTCAGGTATGCCTTTACTAGGAATTTCAATTGCCTGTAATAGTTTGCTAAAAGCGTCAACTAAGGTGAGGTATCTTTTTCCTTCGATACTAAATATATCTATAAATAATTCCTGGGATGGGGCATCTTGCGTTTGAGTTAACTGTAAATATGGTTTCAAAGGCTTTCGGTCATATTTTATTTGTTTACAGGCTTCACAAGAATTAATTACTGCTGATATAGTTTCTTTCATGTTATTCCAAAAGAAGTGTCGCCTGATGCGTGTAAAAGTTTCTTGAATACCTCTGTGACAGGTTTTTCCGAGATGAAATTTCAGAATAACGGCTTTCTGTTTATTTTCATCGTCAATAAAAACGATTCTTTCCGTACACTCATAAAATTGAATTGATACACCTTTAAAAAGCCTAATTACCATGTTGCTGAATTGTTTGCGATGTTCCGTATTTCCGAAATATATAAAATATTTCTTTTTGGGTTTTATGTATTCTTTCAGGAATTGTTTGATTAAATACTAATAATTACACAATTACTCAATAATTATAGCTCACAGAATTTGATGTGAATCTAAACTTATACTTACTTTAGGGGTTGCAGAATTTCATGCACTAACCTACTTACTTCTATGTTTCTTTAATTTACTTATT